ATATTTAAAGACAGTTTTTATTTTAAATATGAGATATAAATAATCCCCAGCATTAGCGTTCATTTCATTCGGAGAAAGTTGGTTTTCTCAGAGAATTCCGTTTACAATATAACCGACTGGTTTACGTTGTACGTGAAAGGGAAAAACGATCCGCTTGGCTTCCGCATCTTTTTGAAGTCGTCAGGGCTTCAAATTAAAGGGGCAGAGGTATTGACGAGACGTACCCGTTACAGGTAGAAATAAAAAAAAAAGATGTACAAAAATTTTTGATAGAGGAGTATATCTATTATAATACCCATCCCCCCTCCCCAATGACTTCCAAACAGCGAATAACGGCGTAATTAAAAAACATTGGAAGAGACAAATATATTTTTGCTTTAAATTAATGCTTTTACGATTATTTAACTAATATTATAATTTACTGGTCTTGTACAATAAAAGCTAAATTGTTAAGAAATTTTCATTCGAGAAATTATCACTGGAAGCTTAAAATGAAGATCTGTTGCATTTTCAGGCGATATAATAATCTTCTTATCTATATACTATATTCCTTTGCATTTTAGTTTGATATAACATAGTTTAGCGTATTTTTAACTCATTATTTCCATAACATTAAAATATTATAGAAGAGTAATTTATGTACTTCCCTTTCATGCTCTTGAACTTGGCTTTTCGTCGCTTAGCAACGACAGCCTGCGAATTACTTCCACTTCGGAAAGTGGACAGTCGACAATAGGTATTATACTGAAAAGTTCTTGATTATTGTTAAGTTTGAAAAAGCTCGTCAAAGAAGGAATGAAGGCGGCATACCATTTTTCCCGCCACCCGTTACGTCCCGTTCTTTTTTCGGCGGCTTTCTTTCAAGTCCCGTTCTGTTTGGAAGACTCGTTTTCTCCCGGGCGTTGCGTTTACAAGGTAAACGCCTTTGAGAGAGAAACGAGAGACTGAGAAAAGCAGACCGGGATATAAATCGTTTTGAATACCTTTCACCCGGGCTACTGTCTCAACGTCCTGTTCGAGGATCCGTCTTTAGTCTCAATCTCTTTTGTTGAAAAGGAGACGTGAGTTATTTGTGGAATTTAATATTATCTAAATTAACCATAAACGATAAACGACAATCGAGATAAAACAAATGTACCAAAGTTGTCAAACAATCGCGCAACCACTCGAGACTCATAATTATGTATATTAGAGGAATGGTATCGATAATGAATGATGGAGTAGTAAATAATAATAAAATATACATAGAGAATTACCTAATATATATCAACAAAATACTGCAAAATATGAAAATATTTTACTGTAAGATCAATATTTTATATGGCTTTTATAAAATAACATCGCTTTCAATAACTGCATATTACATATTATTTTAATATAACATTTTTTTTACAAAAATATGTTTTCATTTTGTCAAAAATTTTATGTTATGTACATTGTACATTACTTTAGCTCTTTGCTCGAATGTAATAAAACTCATCTTAATTAAAGTCGTGCTACATTTTTACCTTGGTAACATCAGGTTAAATTGTGATTAAAAATAAATTTTCATATTTATAAAACAAATATTTTATTTAAAAAAATATATAGTGGCGTGTGTAGCGTTGCCAACTTTTTCTTTTTAGAAAGAAAACTCATTATGAGCCAACACGTGCCTTTGTTGCTGCAAAATGAGCACCTGGTGTTTGGTTGAGAAATCATCCATTCCAACTAAAAAGTTACTTTCTCAGAGTCTTAGACTTTGTAGTGTTTATCGATAATAACCGAAAGACGGGAAAGTACCATTCTGTTCTTTCCCCGGCTATCTTCGAAGTTCTTACATCGAGACGTTAGCTCGTCGTTTTTGCGTCGATATTAAAACTTTAATAACGAGACGAGGTCTTACAGCACTCGCTTCCTGGAATGCTTTCGTAGAAGCAGCTGGTACTTCGGTAGCCCTACGCATCGAAGAACTTGCATTTAAGTCGTATCGATTTCGTGAATCTCATCAACAAGTTCTTCCTCTTCCAGAGCGGCAAAGAACACGTTGTGTCCTTTATTCCTCTTTCTCCGTACCGTTCATGCTTTTTTCTTTTTACACTTTCGAACTTCCGAACGATACTTTCGCGCCCGATTGACTCCTAATGGCTTCCATTCAGTACTTCATTAACTCATTGACTGATAAACTTCAATGTTGTTACGATTCTTCACAGGATGAGTACACGACCGCACAATTTGTCATCTTTCTTGAAACGAGAGTACTGTACTTGTGCTTGTCGTTTGAACGATGAAAGAAAGTTTTGACCAACGAAGGTTTTCTTTTTTTAATTTAAATCTACACTGAGAAAAATGTTTTAGCTGTACCAACTAAAACACAGTACACAATCATCAGATTATATCAATCAGAATTCATGTTATTGCAATTGAATTTTTAATTATCTGGACTAAAATTCCAGTAAACACTAATTCAAAATAATAATTGTTATTTTATTTAACAATGTATTATGTAATATATATGTGTGTTATATTAATTTATATTATTATGTATGAATAAAACTATAGATTTTGATGTTTATACTTTTAATTGCTATTTACTGGGATGCTTGATACATTTAACTATAAGTGTCTGATTTGTATTTTTTTAATTGGTTCTTTCAAAATTTTAATTAATGCAAGAAAAATTTTCCAGCGATTTGATACGACGACGATTACAGCTATGAATCTCGTGCGCATCTGGCTACGTATGGGTAAATAGAAGGCTCAATGTGCGAACGCGCGTTATTCGGCACTGTGTTATGTCTGTTGATAAACCGATCCAGACTTACGGACATCTGGGTGGTCCGCGTTGTGCCGCGCTCGACTTTCCCGAAGGATGACACGCATCTGTCGACATGTTCTCGTTTCGTCGATGATCGCCTTTTAGAAAAAAATAAGCTGTACCCCTCACTGCGCGATTTATTAAAGTCCGTCCATATGGGGCGTTTTAACTGCCGGTTTCTTTTAGACTGACAGAACGCTTCTGCATATATTTGTATCTCCGAAATATGATTTTGAACAAGTGCGAGAAAGTCTTTTGAAAGTTTGTTCTACTAAATATTCAATAAGTACTGGTAACTAATGCCTGAAACGTATTACATTGTATGTATTCTGCGAGGTAATCGATGTTCGAGTGCTGCTTTGAAATTCTTGTCGGGGTGGGGGCAATTAAAATCCCAGTCTACGTTGCGAGCAACCGTTCAGAAGGGTCGTTGAAGATAGCAGGGCCGGCTGCTTCCATCCAAGGTTACCTACGTAACAAACAACAGGAGACAGAGAGAAATAACGGGCATTTATTTACATGCACGAAAAACGAGACGAAAAGAGAAAAAGGTCATTCGCTAATACATAATCCGCTAAGAAACGATTCAACTTGTACGACTTTACAGCTAAAAATGTCTATCACTTTCCTTATATTTTTTTTTTGTTGTAAATTATTAGAATCATTAATTTTCGATGATACAATTCGTGAATTTGTTCCAGCATTTTGTCTGAATTCGTGAGATTAACACAAGTTGTGCGTATCGTAAATAATATAAATACCGCGTTCGGATATAAGAAATATACCATTTAATTATTCAATTTTTAGACTTTGGTATCTCTCTCTCAATTCTATACCAAGTTAACAATTTTAAAATTAATATTTAAGTAATTGTTAAAAATAATGTTTAACATAATATACTTGAATGGTACGACATTTTGTGTGCCATCCTACTTTATACGCAGGTGATCAGAAAAAGTTGACCTCTGTGAAGTTGGCACCGCATTTTTAAAAAAATGAAATTTTCGACAGAATTCTAAATGCACCCCGAAGAGTTCTGAAGTTCCTGCTTAAAATAAAAAATAGTTTTGGCGAATTAACACTAAAAATCGAAAATTTAAAATTTGGGGTGCTAACTTCACAAAACGCACAACGAAAAATTGCGATATCTTCTAAACCATTAGTCATAGCGCTTTAAATGCTAATAACTTTTAGTAGAACTCTTGGGGTGCTATCCAGAACTGTCAACAGAACTACCGTAATGTTAAAAAAAAAATTTTTTTTATTTTTAAATACAAAAAATCGCGATAACTTTGAAATCGTTAGACCTAGCGCGTTGAGTATTAAGAACTTTCGTCAGAACTCGTGGGGTGCTACCCAGAACTGTCGACAGAACTTCCGTAACTCTAAAAAATTTTTCTCGTACAAATCTAAAAAAAAATTTTTTTAACCACCCGACGAGTTCTGACGAAAGTTCTTAATGCTCAACGCGCTAGGACTAACGGTTTCAGAGACATCGCGATTTTTTGTATTTACTATATATAAAAATTAAAAAAATTTTTTTTTTAACATTACGGCAGTTCTGTTGACAGTTCTGGATAGCACCCCAAGAGTTCTACTAAAAGTTATTAGCATTTAAAGCGCTATGACTAATGGTTTAGAAGATATCGCAATTTTTCGTTGTGCGTTTTGTGAAGTTAGCACCCCAAATTTTAAATTTTCGATTTTTAGTGTTAATTCGCCAGAATTATTTTTTATTTTAGGCAGGAACTTCAGAACTCTGTCGAAAATTTCATTTTTTTTAAAATGAGGTGCCAACTTCACGGAGGTAAAAAGTTGTGAACCGACACGGAGATGTCACGGTCGACCTCCGTGACACGCGTGCTACGACACAGAGGTAAAAAGTTGTGAACCGACACGGAGATGTCACGGTCGACCTCCGTGACACGCGTGCTACGACGCGTGCGTGCACAGTGATAGCGGCGACACGCGATGCCTCTGTACGAAAGTTAATCTCGACTCTGTGAGATGCTGACGGAACGACGACGAGGAAGGGCCACACGGACGCGTACGATGATAATAATAAATGTTGCCTACTCCCTTCAGCCTCTCTCTCTCTCCCCCCTCCCCGCCCCCGTTTTACCCACTCTCGTGCTATGCGTGCCTCGCCGGCGGTTCCTTTGATCTGTCGCTTCGTTTGTGCGTTTAAACACGAGTCGCCTAGATGCGGAATGGAGCAACGGGAGACGACGAACGAAAAGAGACGGAGCGAAGAGAACACACCGGCAGGGAGGAAACAAAGCGGGAAAGGGGTGCAGTGATCGAGAGGGAGAAAGGGGGAACAATCATAGAGAGAAGCAGAGAGAAAGAATCGGTTTTGCAATGAGAGGGGGGAAAAAAGGCTCGAGTGCCCTGGTAAAATCTTGTCTGGACCTACGGAAGGTAAAGTGAGATTTTTGTCATTGCAAACGAGCTTTCCAACCTTCAATTTCCTTCCCAGAATCCAGGGTTTTCCCTTTACGTCTCTTTTTCATCCTTGTTTTGCTGACTATACTGCGTATTTTCTCTCGTGACTCTTTGTCGTTGCTTTGTACCGAATTGTCGGCACCCTTAAATCCGCTTCCTCGATGATAACTCCTCGAGATTAATGTTCTTTAATGGACTTAAAGGACCGCGTTTTCAACGCAAGCCTTTTAAACTGCTCGCCTGTTCACCAACAAGTACGCGTTATGAAGGGTAGGAAATAGAATGGAAAGAAGAGGCAGAAAGGAAGAAGAAATAACAATTAAACGATTCCGCCTCTCGTTTCATTTCGGATTCATCGAGTGCCAGGGTTCGACTGCGAATCGCTCGCAGAAATTTTCACCACTAATTTCGCGCAACAATTCGAGCCAGACGGTCCGCGGAGTGGAAGGTCGATCAATGATCAGACTCTCCGGAAGCGGAGAGGGACTGTCACGTGAACACGTGACGATTTCAAAGTTCATTCCCACGAGCGGTGACATTGAAAACGCATCTCATTCTCGACGATCGCTACAGAACGTACAGCAACAAATTTAATTGATTTCACTGATCGTTGAATTATTTCTTTATTAATATTTGCATTGGGGCGACTAGGGAGGTTTGAAATTTAAAAAATTGACTCGCAGAAAATTTTCTAGTTATAACAAATCTATTAAAATTCTAGTTGAGATTTGGGATAATTGAAATTCTGATTGATTTATAATCGGAATTTTCTAGTTTATTCATTTTTAACCAATCATTTTTTTCATTGAATGTAATAAGGAAAATTGTCAAAGTTAAATTGATGAAGATTTCGAAAAATCCTAGGAATAGGATGTTTTTAGGCTTTCCTCTATTGATTAGATTTGAAACATTAAAAATAAAAAGGAAATTAACAAAATAACATTTAGAAAACGAAAATTTTGAAAAAAATTCAAGTTATTTATTATTATAAAATTATAGCAATATTTTTTTACAATTTGATTTCAGATATCTCCTGCGGTTTTCTCGAGATATCGTAGTAAAATCACTAAAAAATATTTCAAGAAAGTCGCATTCAAAACTTTAGTACAATATTTATGTTAGAACAGTATTTGCGCGGTTTAAAAATTTCTAGTACCGTAGAATGCAATCTGCAAAGTACATTCAGCTTCAACAGTAACTTCAATTGTAACACAAAAGAACCCTAGGAATTCGAATAATGCCATTTATTTGGTCAGGTTGCGCAACTACATTCTCCTTTATTTTACATTCTCTTTATCTCAATTTTGTGAATTTTTCAAAAAGACAAACGAGAAAGGATTTCTAAATAATCGCAATATCGAAATATGCAAAAAAAAATCGAAAATCGATTTTTTCGAAATTTCATATCTTTAAGCTCAATTATACTAGTAATTATAAAAGTGGTCTAACAATAAGTAAAAAATCGAAATAATGAATTTATCCTATATTTTGTATAATCACATTGCAATCATACAAAATACGGGGTAAATTTATTATTATACTTACTTAGACTATTTTCATAATTACCAGTACAATTAATTTATTCAGAATGTACGCGTCCTGTGCATTAGATTTACGACCTGTAATGGATAGCGTATGCCAGACAACAGCAAAAAAGATAATTATTTGCAATACATTCGTGCAGCAATGTCACACGTACACGCCACACCAACTTGAAGAAAGTTATTACGCAGTTCGCGTGGAGGATTCATTTTCGAAGTAATCGCGTTCACGTGCAACGCTCGTTGATGAAGCGTCTCTCGATGCGCCGTCGAGTCTGCAGTCTGCAGGTCGTCGGCTGCTATCGAGAGCGAGAGAGACGTGACGCAAGAGGAAAAAAAAGTGCCGACGACAAGAGCTCGTAGATAGAGGTAAAAAGATCGAACCAACTGAGGTGTTAATAATGCTGCCTCGGGAAACTCGAAAGTGCAGTCGTTTCCGTTTCACGGATGACTAACATACATTTGTGCCAATTGCTAAACGAGAAATTTCCTAGCTTTACTTATTATTTAACATTATTTAACTCCGTTTCAGGGCAAAGAGAAATGTTTTAAATTTATCATGCAGCCTTATAATTAAAGAGATCGATCTAGGTAAATATTATATTTTAATCGCTCCCTTTTGCTTCAAAAGTAACATTTCTAAAAATTAATTTCGCAAAAAAGAGAAGAACTATCTTTCAGCTTAATAGAAAATTATTGACTAATCAAATAACGTTGGCAAAAAGTATACATTCTTAATACGATCAAATGTCATATTTTGTTATCTTCACAACTCTTAAAAATTTATCCTTTTTGAATTGTGACGAATTTTGACGAATTCTTGTGAAGTTAAGTTAGTTCGTTTTTATGATTGATAGAGTAATGTTTATCTATCTCGTTCATGGTGATAACTAGACATTTGCGTTTTTGAATTGTGAGCTGAAAAAACAAATATTTAAAAATATTATATTGTTTTATTGAACTAAGCAGTTTTTCAAAGAATATGAATCGTAATCTTACATTTTTAGACAAACGCGTGAAATCAGAGATCTGCAATTAGAATTTTACTTTATATCGATGTCCGTTAATTGAGACGTAGGTCAAAAGCTGTTGTGCGGCACGGCCGACGATCTAACCGCGCCGTGTAGTAATAAATTACTCGCGCGCTTTTGTAGAAGTGAGAATCGTTACGTTCGCGGGAACGAGTAAATTATCACGTGGAGCTTACAGACTTCTTGCCGTTCCGGTTGTGCGTAACGCGCGCGCAATTTGCGACGTTCCGTCCAAATGCAATTCCTCCGCGCGCTAACGACGCGCGTTTTTCTTTCAACTATTGGCGTATTTTTTAACGAAACCCCAGGCGCGCGTAATTACGTTTCATTTTATCCGTCGAGGGTGCCGGCGCGGGGCCGATCAATTTCATGGCGTGGACTAATGAATCAAATTAATGAACGAAGCCTTATCGTCCACACGGTCTTCGGTAACTGTTGCCCTGTGAGTTACGATGCGCCCTTCTTGCCTTCGCTTAACCGACGTTACTTCCCCGCCGCATAGTTAAACGTATCAGAGGCTTGACTTTGGTTTTCTTCATTGAGAAAGAAGCTTGGCAAAAGATTTATCGGCAATTATTCTGCGCGCAATCGGAGTGACATTCCATCGAAGTCATCTATTGTTTCTTATACTATTATTCTGATTTTATTTATGTTGCGATTTTTTATAAGATTCGTACTAGATAAGTAAAAAAAAATACGAATTTGTTTTATGGATAATCTACTGTGAGATACGGTGGTGGGCAGACCGACAGATTAAATGTTTTTGCCGAATCGATACGGATTCGCCCACCCCTCGGACACTGAAACCTCAGACAACTTTTGCCGCGAAGTCCAGATAAGTTGAGGAAAAAAAGGGACGAGGATCCCCGACGCGAAGGGCAGCCAACCGAGACTCTCCGACTCTTCCTTCGGAGTTCTGTCTGTCCCTTACGAATAATACATGGAGACGCGTCCTTCGCACGGGCTATGGGGCTTTGACGAGCTCGCTCGCGACGTGCTCGTCGCGGCGAACAGCCGCGGAAACGAAGGATAAACGGAACGGAACGCGTCTTCCGTTCCCTCTTAAGTCGTCGTTTTATTTGACTCGATTAAATTCGTCGAGGGAAGCCCTGCGCGCGTTCTCGTTTTCAGACAACCCGACGCCCGACGGCGGGTTTGATCCTCGAGTGCGGGTACAAAAATGGGAAGAGCGGCAATGCGGGAGGAATCGACCTGACATTCTCAGGAACCGAGCATCCTCTCCTCCACCTTCTTCCCCTGACCCCTGCGCCATCCCACCTCTCTCGTCGACTTCTTCTATCTTTACGGAGAATTGCTTTCCCTCCCATTGTCCTGCCTGCGCGAGCGCTTCTTTTCACATTCTAGAATTCCAGCCGGTCTGCCGCGATATCCGCGCGGTTATTCGCCGCCGTTCTCGGTGTCGACGCGCCCTTCCTCCAGGCACCCTCAACGACGGACGACGTCGAACGTGAAGAAATTGGAAGCGAAGGCTCGCCGCGGAAGTCGTTTGTCTCGTTCGTCTCTCGACTCTCATTCGGCGTCACTGCTCTCTATTCCGATTTTCTTTGCCGATCCGCACGAAGGAATCTCACCGAAGGGACGGAATGTCGAAGGGAAAAAAAAATCGTTCGGTGCGCACCGCGCGTAATTACGCGCACTCGCTCCGCCGGCCGCGCCGCGCCGCTTGCAATATCAGCGTACATAATCTGGAAGTTATTAGCGTTGTGAATTCGCCGCGTCTAATATCCACGATATTTAATAGCTTATGGTTTTCTTGCTTTCCTTCCTCCATGCCGGCGCACGTATATTCACATACGTCGTAAATGCGGTAGCGTATAGAGTTCACGAGTGGAGATGTTGCGATATATCGCAACTACTGCAACTTTTATCTTGAATCGCAGCGCGATATGTAACTGAATTTAATTGTAAAATCACGTGTGATTTAAAATAGCGTTTGCGATTTGAAATTGCATTATATAGAAAAATTATAATAAAACAAAAATAATCTTTACACACATAATTTAAATGTTATGAAAATACAGTGTATATGATATAAAAATCACGATTCGATATGTCACGTTTACTGCGATTTTTGAGGAGTTGCGACGCACAGTTTTAAAAATCACTCATCTCTCTATTTACGAGACACTCATCTGCGGCATACAATGCCAGAGACGATTTGCACACTCGTCATTAATAATAATTTACTCACACGCACGCACGCGTGACATACACAGAGTTAATGAAAAGGAATTAAATCAGGTAGAGTTTATATTGGGATGAAAAGAAGCTGAGAGCTTGATATTTAACACTTTAATATAAAGAAGAACTGTCACAAATGTGATCTCACACGAACTCTGATATCTCTCGGAACACGACGCGTCCAACTCTTTTTCTCTCGTTCTCTTTACTCGACTCTCCATGCGGCTCTGTTTTTGTTCGCGTCTGCCATGTCTTGTCTGACCAATTCGTCTAAATACAATTACTCATTTCATTCTGCAAAAAGTGCCTTGCAAAAAATAACAATACTGACATCGTCTGAAAATCCAGTGTTTTTTTTTTACAAATATATATTATATTATTATCCAACGCAACGATTGTTTAAATTATTTTTTTACCAACGATAAAGCACATTATTGTAATGCAGTTGATATTCTTAAACATTCATTATGCTTTCCTGCCTCCATTATGCTCGCGTGTAGCCATATAATATACTGTATCGTACACCGTTTACCGTGTTAATAACTGATCATTGCATTACACGACACTATTGATTTCTGTTTCAGGGATCAGCGAAGCGATTGTGCAGCTGCAGCAACCGAAATTGCCATCCGCAATCCTCGTGGACAACGAGGTCGAGCTCCGGTGTCACGTCGACGGTTCCGGCGACATGAAATACGAGTGGTTCAAGTTAGTTGCTTCGTCTGTTTTAACTTTGTCTATTTACCTCGAGCGTCTCGCGCGTGATAACCGAGGGGCGAGGCGAGAGCAACTAGTACCGGAAAATCTAAGCGGGATGCGCGATGAGCGACACGGGGATAGACCGAAATGAAGGGGGCAAACTACTAAGTTCCTAGCGTAACTGACACCCGACGTTTACAGAACCGGCCTGGTAAATTATGAAGTGACATTCCCTCGCCCCGGCGTGCACCATCGAGAGTTTCACCTCCGCCGTCATTTTGAATCATCCCCCTCATCGTAAACCCGCGACGCCTGTTCCCCATGGAATATGTCGTGCACTCGGTGGAGTTTAATGATGTTAGTTGTGCCACACGATGAAAATATCACACGCTGGGAAAACTTTTTTTTCAATACATTTTTGACCTGTCGTGTCTGTCGTAATTTCCGAATTAGGGTCGAGAACAAAGTCAGTTAACGCGCAAGATTTACGTAGTTTATTATAGTCTTCCATAAAAAATAAAGTTGAAGCACAGACCTTTGCATAATACATAATACATAAAGCATGAAAAAATCAACCAACCAGAGTCCTTTATTTCATAGAAAGAAAGGAAGTAACATTGATCGATTCATTCTCTTATTCATTATGCGTTATATAAGATTCACATGTTGCAAAAATCGAGCATTTCACGTCACACAAAAACGAAGACTTGTCAGATAAGTTTTTGTTTGAATATAAAAGTGACACTAGCTGTGTAGAATTAACGCAAAATTGTATTGCATGTTTGTAAAATAATTCGTATATCTTACGAAAATGATTCGAGTCGAGGATCGGTTGTTCGTTTTACAGGAACACAGTGAGCGTGGCGAAAAGCGATCGTGTTGAGATCAAGAAAAAAAAACTGCACATACACAGAGTAGTTCCAGAAGACAGCGGCATGTACACCTGTGTGGCCAAGAATGAGGCAGGAGCCTCGCCAGTGACTGACAGTTACCCGTTAATCGTTTCCGGAAATGAGACTGTGACGATTAAGGATGTTCCGAGAAACCTGATCACTAAACGCGGCGAGCCGGCTGTTCTGCACTGTGTCTTCGAGAACGCCGACGAGATACAGTGGTTCTTCAAGGAAATCGGTCCGCTGGAATCCGACGAGGAACGAACGATCTTCGAGAACGGCACTCTCTTAATACGCGCCGCCGATCTTAGGGACCAGGGATTCTACTCCTGCCACGGAACAAGGGACGAGACCACAGTTAGTTATAGGGTCGAATTACAAATTGCTTGTAAGCACCAATCGATTTTCGATAGCCCGACGTGGTAATAGAATTAAAACTAAAAGTAGACAAGAGATAATCAAACGATATACTAGTGAAGAAAAGAAATTAAATAATAAATAGCCAATAGAATGCATTTAAGTCAATGACATCAGTCAATATTGACAAGAGAATATATTTAGATCACAGAAATTTTAAATGTTTATAATACATAGTACATATGTATTAATCTATTCGAATTATAGTTTTAATATATTATTTGAACATAATATGGTATTTTAAACAAATTGATAAATAGTATAAAATAATAATTATTGCAATTTTTTGAAGTAAACTTCTTGAAAAGATAAATGGAATTTTGGATGTAAATAAAACTTGCAGATTTGCTGAACTTTTCGGTGGCTGCTTTTGAACCAAAACGTCCTACTCAACTGGCGATTGTCGGCGAGGATCAAGAATTCCAGATAAGTTGCCTAGAGCCCTTAGGGCTTCCTCCGCCCAAGGTTTTCTGGAAAGATCCCACGGGGCATATTATAAGCGATACCGGTCCCGTACGCGTTCAAGATAATACGCTCGTCATCGCGAAGGCACGAATGGGCGAGGACGACGGCAATTATACTTGCATGGCCGAGAATATGGCCGGTGAAACGGATATATCCGTCCAAATAATTATATCAAGTAGGTATACAATTTTCTCAACCAGAAATTACAAGCGTAACTGATGCGGTTTTCTATGCGATAAATTCTTATCGCGTAACCATTCAGAAAAATTATGAATGTCCTGTCACTTTTCTAGCTCCGCCAAGTATAATAAGTTCCCCAGAGTCGCTCAGTGTGATGGAAGGTGATTCCGTGACACTAACTTGTTCGTATTCCGGCATGGAACCGCCGGTTACACACGTGCATTGGTTGAAGGACGGTGCGCAGCTGAGGGAATCGGGCGGTCCGACAAGATACCGCGTAACCGATAATCATGGCAATGTTACGCTACATTTCAAGAGCGTTGACCTGTCTGACAAAGGGCATTACATGTGTCAAGTATTCACTACAGGTTTCCCGTCTCTGTTCTCGGATCCGGCCGTTCTCACGGTTGAAGAGAAGCTTAAATTCTCACCACAACCTGTCAATAAACGCCTAGAGCTCGGCTCCACTGCGAAGGTATCGTGTAAGGCCCAGGGTGCCACGAACCCCACGGTAAAGTGGATCAAGGAAGGCGAGGACGAGGAATTTCCCAAACATGTTCAGGATATTAACGGCACTCTACACTTCAACGGTGTACTGGAAGAGGACAAAGGTCGATACACTTGTATCGCCAGTAACGCTCAAGGGTCCATCAATCACACGATTAGTATTGATGTAGTTAGTACGTATCGATGCTTGTACGGTGAATATTGAACGAACAAGAAATTTATTTATAATATGTTAATGAATAATTAAATGTTTATTTATTTTTTACAGTCGCGCCGAAATTTACGGTACAACCGCAAAATCCAACTGAGGCGATTGAGGGATATCCAGTGATGTTACACTGTGCCGCCGAGGGTGATCCTAAACCGACCATTCAATGGGATAAAGATTCTCGCATGAACAATTTAGATAATCCTCGATTTGAAGTATTAAGTAATGGAAGTTTGTACATTAAAGAAGTGTATCTTAGTGACGAGGGGAAATACGGATGTACTGCTGGCAATAGCGGTGGTTTAAAACGAGAGGAAGTTCAATTAAATGTAAAAGGTACTTGCATTATTGTACATTATTATAATTTATAATTTTTTGAATGACTTTTAAATTAATTGTAATTTAATGTGATCTATTTTATGATAAAATAAAATAACTATTATTTTAGCTGGAGATAATTATAGAGCTGACATGGATCTAGAGGCCTCTGATGATGGAATGATGATGACTAAGACTGTAACGATTACTCTTAGCGCAGCCGCAGGGTATATGGTGCTCGTCGTTGGTCTCATGTTGTATTGTCGTTATCGCCGTCGTCGTAGGAAGCAACAATACCTACAGGAACAAACAGAAGGTATATCGTCATTATTAATGTATGTAATAGTGTGATGGTGTAGCATACATATCTAAATTAATGTGTACATTTCTGAATTCTAGAAAAACTGGAGAATGGTGATGTACAGGAGGAACAGACAGAGTTGAAAGAAACTGGGAATAAAGTAAATTCAACGAATAAGAAGAAAGAAAATCGCGATTCTCATAACAAGAGCGACGGCGCAGAGACAGCTCACAGTCAAAGTAGTAATCAATCTAAAAAATCTAAGTCGAATTATGACAAAATTGCCGCTTCGCGAAGCAATCTAAAGGAATTGAAGCCTCTTGGTCGAGGAGAATTTGGTGAGATTTATTCTACGAAATATCAAATTGATGGCGATAAGGAATCCTTGGTCATGGTAAAAAGTCTGATAAACACGAAAGACGAGATTGCTCTTCAAGAATTTAAACGACATCTGGATCTTGTTCATAAACTTAATCACGAGAACGTCGTCAAGTTGATTGGTCTGTGTCGAGAGGAAGAGCCCGATTACATGATTTTAGAATACACCGATTGGGGCGACTTGAAACAATTCTTGATCGCCTCACGAAAGGATAACAATTCTAGCCCAACTCACGAATCGAAAGTTCCACGTGCACCTCAGCTATCAGTGGCGCAAATACTTTCACTATCGAATCAGGCTGCGAAGGGCCTAAAACATTTAGCCGATAATCGATTAGTCCACAAGGATATAGCCGCGCGCAATTGCTTGATCGCCAGCAACTTGACGATCAAGATCTCGCTACCATGCATGACCAAAGAGCCGTACCAACAAGAATACACGAAACACCGAAATCAGATAATTCCGCTGCGATGGCTGCCCTATGAAGCAGTATACGAGGACGAATACTCCACTAAGAGCGATGTGTATTCATTTTCGTGTTTGGTCTGGGAAATGTTCCATCAGGGCGAGTTGCCATTTAACAAGATGAACGACGAGTCCGTGTTAACACAGCTCAAGGCGCAAACGCTCACGTGGAAACCGCACAAAGCGGCGCCGCCGGCTCTTCAAGAGCTGCAAACTCAGTGCTGGGCAAATGATCCACGCGAGAGACCGACCTTTGATGAAGTTGTGTCGAAAATAGGCGAAATTGTGGTCGATAGTTGCCTGTAGGCTAGTATCGCGACCTAATTTGTATGAGGCTCTGAATATTGGAAATACTGCAATAGGGGTAATGATTATGCGGAGCTGTATATCGAGAGGTAAGGCTGATGAGCGCCGATGACCGCTCGCGGTAGTGATCTCTCCCGTACGAAGAGGAGAGAATGCCGCGGTTTTTCGCGCGAGAATAATTAACTGGCTTTCATGTTACAACGCTTCGTATCGATTATATATGCATAATACATTATAGAAAACCCTACTCTTTTTGTAAAAGGAAAATGGCTTGCTCATTAATCATTGAACGCGCGAGAATTATGTGTCCTAATGACGTCATCGCAAATCGTGATGTATAGATTTTACGAAGAATTTAATATTTCGCATCGATGCGTGTCATTTAATCCACGTCGTTGCATATAATCAAGTGAGTAGCATCTTCATTGAGGAGTTTTGATATATTTTATAGATCTCGCTTCAGACATCATTACATCATATTATGTGCAATCTTGGATTTTTCTATCGTTCCACGAATGTCATTTCTTGGAATCGCGCCAGCGAAAGCTCCCGTAAATCTCCGTGTTGTACGATCATTGAACGTTATATCTTGATATCCTCTACTGCTTCCGTGTTATAGATTAACAAATAGAACGAGATAAAATCGTTGGTTCCGCAATAATTATTCATATTACAGTATTTTGTCGCGCCCACTAGCTTGATAAGAAAATAATATTTATTTCAAATAGCATCTCCGCTCCAATGACTGTTCTTCTATCGTTGGACTAAATAATGATCCGTATGGGCCAATATACGTTATTATGCAATTAATGCAATACTTAGTATACAGTATCGATATAATAATAAGTATCATCACCACACATCGAATACTCATAAGATACGTTAATTGTTAGGTGAGCCGAGGTCGAAAACTGATAAGAGAAACGTTCAATCGGATTGTACGAAATTACGTGAACGATCTCGATTGAACGTCGATGATCGGACTCGGCGCTGCAATGACATGCATATTAAGAAAGTATCACGACCATATCAAATAACGAAGAAAATCTTATCTCCGCCTATTTACTTCTACACTGCTAAGACATAAAAACAAACGTTTTATAACATATATTATTTATAACGTATATATTTATGTGTGATATATAAGGACGCAATCGACCACTCGTATTTGACGAAAAAGACGGCCTTGTACATATACCGATGGTATGCAAGTATACATGTAAGTTGTTTCTTTAAAGCGCGAAAGACTAGCGTGAATCATCGTGTTAATTTTCATTAATATGTGATCATTCGAATCCTCGATGGCTTTTTATTAAAAAATTTCGTGAGGAAGTTTCGTATATATTGGTATCAGAGGTGAGAAGATCATGGCGCGTACGGCTAGATGCTGGACACGCGAGGAAATAATAAAACGGCATATACAGAATGACGCTTGAAAAACCTATTTTTACATGCGGAAATTAGAATCGATCGGACCAGAGGCGAAGTATCGCTCGCGATATTTTTGCATTCGGGATCTACGGTTTGATAAGTAGCGCGAACAATCTATGTATTTGACGCGATGGTCCAATAAGAGGAATGTGCTGAATATATATTCGACTCCGTATCCGATTTATACAACGAATATCAATGTTTATATTTTAACAGTACGTAAGTTTTAATGTCGTCCCTATTTTTGCATTTAATTCTACTGTAAGAGATTGTAAAGGAGAGAACTCGCGAGGCAATTATGATGAGCATATTTGCTTCTTCCATTTCATGGCAATACTTCCGTTGATGCTTCGTAAGTTTTTTGCAGGGTACAAAAAAAGGAACCACCGATAACAATTTTTAGTCGTGCCGGATAAACAGCGTTAGAAATGCTCGTAATGAAAGATAATCGTATTGCTATAACTTATTTCACATTGGATTACGAGTACTTACCGCTTTCAATAATTTTTAAAGGATTAAAGCGCGCATAGAGCCGTACAAAATTAGCCGAATTCAGTTTCGTCGATCGGCAATGCAGTTAAATAGAGCTTCACATGTGAGTTTATTCTACGTGAGGACATTTGTGACTTTTATAAAATAAAAAAGCAAAGAATAGATGCTGTCGGAAGACTTGTCAATTCTTTGTCAATATCGATCTTTAACTAAATATATTTTAACAGAACAATATTTTCGGTAAAAAAATAATAATTTATTGAATCGTGCGACTTGTTTGATTTAATACGTGTCTGCAGCAACAAAAAGAACTGAATGCGAAATCGATTGGAAGGAATAGGAAAGCAAATCAACGCAACGAGGCTGCTTTAATATACTATATATTTGTTTGTTATTGGTAATTCATCTAAAATTCTTTCGAGAATTTCTACTTCTCGGAAAAATTTGATGTTTCTTTCGAAGAGTAATTATAAATGACTCTTCGGCTCTGTGCATGCTAATATAAATATGGTGTATATCATATACGCATATTAGATATAAAGCACTGACCTATAACACTGCCAATGATAATACTGTTCTCTAATTTGCTAAAGCACTCTTGTTATACCGGAAAAGAAACACGAGGCAAACCGCGAAGGCATTTTGCCTCTGAAAGCATCGTCGTATATTCGTGGACACTTTAATTAAAAATATGTAAAAGCACGAAATATATGAATAATCTTTCAAAGTATCGGTCACTCGAGCTCGCGGCGTCTCTTATGTCTTTTATAATGCTTCCTAAATGTTCGCTATATACGTCAAGAAATATTCTTGTGATCAGTGATGGCGAACGTACTTAGTAGTATGAAATCCGTTGCGTATTTTTACATTTAATTTGAAAAAGACTCAACAGATACAGAAAGGATTAAAATTAAATAGATGGAAAAATTAACGGAGAAACTTGTCCAAAGTACTTTCGCAATTCGTTAGTTCTGTTGTCGAATAAGAAATCTTACCCAAAGTTCGTATCTAAATGAAATAGGATATTAAGTTACGCGGAAAGTACGGGGGTAGTCATATCTAAAGAGATATTTTTAAAGCGGAGTACGATCTGAGTACGGCCCATCACTGCTTGTAACATAAAAAATACACTAGGAATATACGTTACAGCGATCTCTAATCCACAATTACACGTATGTAAAGTTAAGATCAATTATCCAAGTCCTATGTGCTCATATCATTCGCTCAGATATTACCTAATCGTGAACGACTATCACTGCCATAAAGAAGGTACATCAATAATCGATGTACCGGCGAGTTGAAAGCTACCTATTATGTCCAATATGTCTAGTCATATACGATGACAAAGTGAACAGCGTACGGGAAGCTCATTTGAATAACGTTCATATCCTTAGGCGTTCCAAATCGATTTCTTTTTTACAGTATTTTGTAAATATTTGTACTTTTTTATCTACGTCGTACTTATGAATTTTTGGAATAGTATGTGCTACGATTAAATAAAGATGAGAAAAAATGTACTATGCGTATCATGATTTTACTGCGACCCATATCCTTATCAGCAATCTGTATCAAAATGATTAGAATCTTATCTCACACTAATTATTTAACTATTATTTAACAGTTACGTCTGTTTTTATAATAATAAATGTTATCACGGAAAATTTTAATTTCTTTTATTTTATAAGGAAAAATTATTTTAAATCTATTTGAAATAAAAATTGACTCTACGTAATGTGAATAAACTCACTATCCGAATACACGTAATCGTTAAACCTTGTAATAAATAAAAAGTATTCGAAAAAAAATACAAGAATACAATGAGGACAGGAAAGATATTAATCTTCGTATACGCAATTTTTTCATGTATTAAGAAATGCATTAGAGATGAAGAGATTTAAAAAAGGATACATGCGCTATAATGGTTAAAATACTTATGAGTATTAGAGAAAGAAGTGGCGTATTACCTAATCAAATTTATTTTTACTTAATATTTCATGGTACAGTCTATACCTATTATGATATATAAAATAACGTAGTCGTCGAATGCAAACAGGTTCAACGAAAGCAGAAACGTCGACTGAGTAGCGCCCAGGAAAGAAAGGTGATCGAACGTTCGAAATGAAACGTGTAAATCATCGATGTGAACGCAGTAATGTGAGAAGTGCGTTTAGTCTTTTATGTGTGTTTATATATTTATATGTAAAGTCTAAAAAAGGTGAGGATGAGTCACTTAATTCTTTAGTACTTAATTCATTAATACAGCGTAGCAGCCTCACTCTCTAATAGTACTAAATATAATAATGGTATAATGCGATAATTATATCGTTAATATAGATTATTAACATTATAAATAATATAATCGTCGGAATTCGTATAATAAACAATGATACAAGGTATTTTTGTCGTTTTAGTTTTTTAAATTGTTATCATATAGTAATAATCACAATAGCGTATTCTGAAAAATAGATTAGGGTCCCGTGGGCAGAGGGCGGAGTGCCTCACTTCTTCCGAACAATTTTCTCTCCATTTCGCTTCGCTATTCTTCTCTTTCTCTCTTTCGCTATCCGTCGCGCTTTAAAGTTCTCCACGGGTGCCCGGAACCTAAATTGGACGAGGATCTCAAGAACGATTGCAGGTCTCGACGGGAGCTCGCAAAGCCTCGTACAGTTCTTCTCGTCTACGTAGCCCGCTTCTATAATTGCGCCGCAAAGACTCGAAGCAGCCACGAAAAATCGCGCTGGGGGAATCCAGCGATATATTGAACTACGTTTCGCACAACGGTCGTCCGTTTTTTTACGTGACAGTACCAAAAAGGATATAATCGCATCGCTGTTTCATCGCCAGGAGCACACGTATGTAGTTTTAGTCATTACATGAGTTGTTAACAAGATTCGAATGTTCCGCAGACAATTGATCGACGATGAGGCTCTCACGAAGTCTTGATAAACGTTTTATGTCGTTCGACCATAGTTGTTGATGATTTATAACGATCTTTCGCGACTTTTCGACTTTCAAAGTATATCGTCGTATCTTCCAGGTACACTTCGGGTGTTTCGTAGTAAAACTAAACTGCGCCGCCTCCCCTAACTTGCGTTTCTCATTCTCTTCCTATCTGACTCTCGCATTTCTGTTCTGGCTTTCCTTTTTTCATTTTTTTTCTTTTTTCTTTTTTTTAAACCGCGTCTCTGCCACTCTGCCTAGGGAACCCACTATAACAGGGCACTATGAACAGCAGTCTGCTGGCTAAGTGACTTTCCGAATCTACAATCGTTCCTCCGCATTCTCTCTTCGTTCTCTTTCTCTCTCACTCGATCAGATTTCCCTCTCTCGCCCTGTCGCACTCTTCCGCCTAATCCTCCTGCACACAAAGAGTTCGCCCCCGTTCGCTCGATCTTACTCTCTCTCTCTCTTTCGTTCTCTCCCTTTCTGGCAGCCTCTCTCATATATATATAGTATATGTTTACCCTTCAGTTCTCCATCCGCGCCGTACGCTTCCCCGCAAACCTGTCGACTCGTTTACTAATAAATCCCGGCTGTGTGCATCTCTATTCTTCTATTCTTCTATGCGAGCATGAACTTTTAGAGGGAAAACGCAAACGTCGCGTAAGGTCATGCCAAGGATAAAAAACGCAGCACGTAACGAAAGACAACGTTGCTCACAATGGTACCATTGCGTAACAGGTGTTGATCGTAAACGGAAAGAAACACTGCCGTGCGAATGCGAGAAACAAGAAAAGTCGGGTTCGCGAACGCAATCCGTGTCTATCTAGGTAGTGACGACTTTATTTGTCGTCACATTGATTGTCGATTGACATTATTTGATGTCAAAATTACGTCTTTAATGTCATTTTCACGTCAACATGACGACAAACGTCAACTTGCTACTTGGGTATAGCTCATGGTACACAAAAAAATTTAAGCAGTAAGGAAATTAACTGATGTTGAATTTGTTGCTGCTTACGTTATGGCGTAAAGACGGTCTCTGTGCTATATGATTGGCCAATTCACTTATAATGTTTACGCTTTACTGCTTAAACTTTTATATGCCATCGCTGTCACCGAATCGGAAATCAACCAACATAACAGGCAAAACAGCGCGGAAAGAAAGCCTTATCTTCATTTTCCTCTACATCCCGGAGAAGCCGATTTAACACGTGCACGTGCTTCCAAAACTCACCCCCCATGTATCCCGTGAATCGCGCGACGTACCGTACCGTTCCGTTCCGTCTCGTCCCATCCTATCCCATTCTATCCAATCCGTCATAGAAAAATCGACAAAAGCTCTCCTTCGCCAGCATGCTTCTCCTATGTCAGCATTCACACTACGTGTCAGCCAATAGTAAACCACTACTGTACCTTTTTCGCGTTTATGATATTTTATACTTTACTTTTTTAATTATTTTTTTTTTGTTTTGTTAATATTAGACGTGCCGTGTCTCTACCATCAGCCTACTGCCAAACTATCTATCTCCTCACTTCCGCTTCTTCTTTTCTCTTTCTCTTTCTCGCTTTCATCCAACCCAATCTCTCCTCTCCTTCAACCCTCTCGCTCGTGCCGCGCTTCCTTCCCTCACCGGGTATACTTCCACTCGTCTCTTTTCTCTCTCGTAGTTTATAAATAGTATTGTATTAATATCATCGTCTTTCGTGTGTTACAATATAATAATCGGCAATAATATACCTTCATTATTAATGTAGTATCGTTATTATTAGTATCGCTCTTCCTCGCTCCCTTTTCCACTTCCTTCTTAACCGGGTAATTTTTCGTTCAAACGCTACCGTGAATCGCGCGAGTGTACGAACGAACGAATGGATGAATCGTCACGCTGCCCTGTGCCACATAGAATGGGTGTCTGCGATCGATTAATGGTGGTTGCTCCGATTTTCCGATGACCGGCGTGCTACGCGCCGATACGGGATGCGATTTTCAAATACACACGGCGGAGACGCACACACAACACACAATCCTGCCCGATTAATTAAGTTGAAGAACGACCCCAAATTGCGACTCTGGCATGAAAACGCGCGGCTCTATACTACTCCACGAGATCAATAAACTGTCGTACGTTCATTCATCGAAGTATATCATCTTGATTTAAAAAAAAAAAAAAAAAAACGGAAAAGACGTGATGTTCCTTTCACGTCTAAAATTGATTGATTTAAAACGATCGCGTCGGCGACACGTACTCGCAATGTAGACGAACCGCACGTTCTCGTTCGTCGCGAAATCGCGATCCGCCTCGTTCCGTGTCGTCGTGCACCGCACGGCGAATACAAAGCATTACGCGAATTTTATATCGCGCACGGTATCGTAAAATACGATGCGATTCCTATGACATTCGACGAGTGAGACGCAGA